AAAATGTTTGAGTTGCGTACAGTGCACCCAAAGAAGCAAACGTGTCAAGCTTCTCTGGGGAAGGACAAGTTCTGTGAGTCAGACATTTGTCAAGCTGCAGCTGACACAGCAGCGAAATGCCAATCAATACTCATGGGTAAACTAGGCTAACATGTCAGATCTACCGACAAATCAATTTTCAGAGAGGCGGTTGTTCGACATTTGCTTTCATCTTTGATACAGAGCTCGTCGCATTCAGGTCAGGCGACGGGTTCGGCTTGTGGTCAGCCCAAAAAATGGGTGTAACGTTAGCTAGCAAGCGTTAGCGGTCAACATTAACTACAATGTTACTATTAGCTAACGCTAGCTGGCTAAGAGGCAAGTGCTAGGAACTGATAAAGTTCCTGAACATGGCTTTCAAGGGTTGGTGTTTTTAGTGACCTGAAATCAGCTGACCAGTCGGACGTGTGAGCTGTGAAACCCACAGGACATTGGGCTGCTTCTTGACTGTCCTTTCGGTAATTTGCTTAGCATCTCTGCTAACAAGCTAGCACTTGTGCTTCTGTGTTTGCCACACAAAAACCGGATGTTTGGGCAAAAGGCAGACCCGAGAGCCCCAAAGACACTTCTCGGCGTCTTGTTAGCTTTGCTAATTTCTACACTTTACCACAGTGGTTAGAGGGTAAAACATTTGAGCTACAGTTAAAACATGCACCGTAAGCGCTTTCTTTCGGTCTCGTTTTTTTACCTGTCAGTCGGATTTTGATGCTGGACCCGTTCCTCCGAGTCCCAGGATTCGACATCACTCCGGGAAAAACGATCACACAAACTTCCCGTTGGAGTCTCCCAAAAACACAGTTTCGCCACTTAACGGGAACGCGAATAACTTCAGTTTAAAATCATGCGGTTTGTTTTTGTTTTCCTCACGGGTAAAAATGTATTATTTCATGGCAAAGTCCTGCGCTCCTTCGAAACCCAACAACACGGGAGAACATTTTCGGGCAGGCTCAAGCACGTACTGACGTCATGTTCTTAACGGGTATAACGTTGCGTGCTCGCGTTTGGGAAGCGTGGGCGTGCCCGAGAAGGTACTTTCAAAGAGGCAAACCTTTGGTTTTTACTTTTATTTTAGATTCTGTATCCTACATTACATTGAAAAAAATTTAATTATTTGTGCTTATTGACATTAATTGACAATGTCTACGATGTTTTAATAACAAACAATCATATTATAAGTAAATATTTAACTGCAACAGGTTGATAAATAGATAACATATGAAATCAGTGATCAATGATGCATTTTGGTTCATTGACATGTACATGTTCGCTCACACATAAAGCAAAATTTGTCTTTTAGTTATCCTCTCCATTTCAAACAACTAGGCTATACACCAGTTGTTTAAACTAGTATTGATTTCTGTTTTCTGCTTTCTCCCAGTCCCCCAATAACTCCTTTAAGAGGCTACCACCAGCTCCTGGATGTTAAGTCTCAAAAAGTCATACTTTTTTATAATTTTACCCACTTTTATACATTTTATTCTCTTCTCCCAGATGATCTCCAGCAATCGATAAATAGTTGTTGTGTATTTCTCCTCAATAATCTCTTTGTTCAGAAGAGCTTGTTGTTTTTCAGATTTTACCCCTCCCACACCACTTTGTATTCGGTTTTCCATTATTTAACCATCAAGTCCAAAATATCAAAAGTAGTTCAAGTAAAAATGGGTGGATGCCCCTATAACATTATTTTTCAAATTTTCCTTATTGAAGAAACTGTTTAACGATGCATACCCCAAAAGAGTTTAAGTATTTATCAAATCTTTGATCCAAAATCTGTGTGGGGAAAATAGATTACTGACTTCCTTAAACAGGTGTTAGGGTGTAAGATCAGCGTCACCTGTGGGAACAGAGACTAACAGTGTGTGTTAGTCACTGTGTTCACACAGTTTACAACTTTACATACTGCATCTTAATTAATATGATCAACATTTTAATGAAAAATCAACAGCCATAAAAAGATTTGCCATTAAGGTAAATATGTTCATCCGAATAGTGAGAGGCGGCTCCTTCTTGAATGTTAGAGCTTTCCTACAAGCACTTGAATGCAACGTGATGAAGACCAATAGTGGCTGCATGACAGGTGAAGTAAATGCATCACTTTATCTAATATATGCTTTAAAAACTGTGTGTCAGGAATGTGAAGTATAGTGTGTGGTGGGCAGAAACACTGGTGCAGTCCGCTGAAGGCTGAGGGAGAGCTGGGTGGATGGGGATAACGGATGGAGGGATTTGGCTCTTGAGCAGCACTGGGTTTAGCTGCACGGCTGCTGTATTAGCTGCTGGAACAATGGACCCTCTCACCAGCCTGTTTACAGGGCACAGTAAATCCACATAAGCAGCGGACGGCTTGTCGGACACTAGACTTGGCTCACAAATACACACACACACACACACAGACACACACACACACAAATGGGCATTTTTGAACTTCATATCCTTTTTGTCTGAGTCTGGAAGTGATGACGTCACATCTTCCTCTTCAGTTATCTTTCTGTTGTAATCTGTTAAGTGTCTTCTTCACATTTCTCATCTCCAACCGCACTACATCTGTCCAGTTCCCACTTGTGTTTATATGTATTTGTATGTTTAACTATGTCAACACTCCACAGGTGGCAGCACCACACACACACACACACACACACACACACACACACACACAGAGACACACACACACACAAATTAGTTTATCCCTCCAAAACGGTCATGTACAGCTGTTAGTATGATTATGTGATTATGTGTGTGTTGTGTGTATGTGTTCACATCTACATGTGTGTGTGTGTGTGTGTGTGTGTGTGTGTATGTGTATGTGTGCACATGTCTATGTGATGTATGTACATGGTGTGTGTGTCATTCAAAGAGCCCCTGAGACCAGCTGAGTGTGTTCACAGCTACTTAGATAATTCCAATCATAGAGACAAAGTTAGTTATAGGCTACCTCTGGGAACACACACACACACACACACACACACACACACACACACACACACACACACACACACACACACACACACGATTAATGAAGTCATTCTTTGCCCAGAACAGTTGGGAAATCCCATTGAGTGGTGAAATGAGGGGTTTTTTATCTCACAAAGATATTTAAATAAAGTAAGAAGAAAACAGAAAAGAGGCTGTGAGAGGGAGGGGAAGAGAAGATGAAGAGAGAAAGAGATTTCACACACTCTGAAAATGGGCCATTTGCTCTGAAAATCAGTGTAATGCCAGAAAAGTCAGAATGAAATTAATTTAAAATCATTTAAACCTCCAACAATAAATCTGTGCAGGAAAAGTATGGACTTATTATAGTCAAACTAGTAACTCTCCTGAGGGTGATTCAGTGTGTGTGTGTGTGTGTGTGTGTGTGTGTGTGTGTGTGTGTGTGTGTGTGTGTGTGTGTGATTAGTGCCCCCTCTGGGGAACAGGAGCAACAGCTGCTTCAGTTCGGAGGAATCTACACTGGAGCACATTTACACAACAGCAGTTCTCATCAACAGTTTTCAGCTTCTTGTACTTTATCTGAAAATCTCAATTTTATGCTTCTCGAAGATTCTATGTCGCTCGTTCTTCCTACTCCATTATATCTATTCTATTGGTTACTGATTATTTACAGAATTGAAATTTTATATAAAAAATAACATGATAATCTCATAAAATACACAAGACTATGTTAAACCTTAAACTGGTGATGTTTTTTTCTTGTGACCCCCCCCCCAAAGATGTCTTCAGACTTCTCTGTTCGAGGCCTGAAGAGGTCAAATTATCCAAGATTTCACAAAAGAAAACTTAGACACATATCCAAAAAATGAATACAAATGTGCGCAGCAGAACTTTTCCCCCTCCCTCTCTGGAGGGAAGTCGACCTCTAGGTTGGAAAAAAAACTGGACTAAACCAGTGAGATGTTTATAAAACACTTAAAACTCGCTCCACCTTCACCAGCTGCAGTAAGATGCTGCAGACACTGATACGTCAGTGTTGAACATCTAATAATGACGTATAAAATAATATTTCACTTTCTGCCTGATGGGAACTTTAAGTCTTGATACTTTAAGTGCATTCACCTACTGAGACTTAGGTTCTTTAATAATATAAGATTTTGAACCTTTAGGTTGTCGTACTCACAGGATGTGACGGCTTCTCCCGCCACTGCAGCAGTGATTCTACACAGAGTGAAGTTTCTGCCTGAACCTCCCTCTCTTCTGTCGGCCTCAAACCGAACTGAGCCCTGCCTCACAAACCTGTTCGTGTTTCTCCCCTGTCCTGTGCCGTCCTCAAGGGGTCATGTAAAGATGACACACGATACACGTGTCCTGTTATGTGAGTAATGGTCGATCTTAAAGGATATATTGATTTATTCAACAGTAAATAGGGATTGGTTAGTCTGGAGAGCAGTGGATCAAGATTACTCCAAGAATGCAAAAGATATTAAGAGAAAAAATTGCTTCTCTGTGTGTCAGTGGTTTTAATTTAAGATGCCTTACTCATCCCTAATCCCATCAGGCGCACAAAGAGAGAGCAATTGATGGTGAAGAGCGGAGGCGGGGTGGGATGAAGATCGAGGTGTGGACGGGGCGGAGTGATGGGGTGAGGAAAGGAGTGATGGCTTTCCAGGGGAAACCCTAAAAGGAGGGAGGCAGATTAAAGAATTCCCAGATCCTGCGCTGCCAGGCAGATTCGGAGGGATGAGACCTCGGGGTGACGGCTGGTTTTAGAGTCGTGACCATATCAGGAAGGAGACGGTGTGATATATAACAGCGTGGCCTCAACACACACACCCATACTCACTTCCTCTGCCTCCTGCATCGGTGAGTATCACCCCTGTCCTTCCTCGCACTTACAGTTACAACTTTTAATTCTCCTCTCTATCTGTCTCTGCCTCAGCCTCTCTCTCTGCAGCAGCCAGTTGGTCAGTGAGCCGGTCAGTTGGTGTGTGTTGGAGGCAGCAGCAGCAGCAGCAGCAGCAGCAGTCATGCCGGGTGGATATAAAGGGGAGTGTGGGGACGATGTGGACCCCATGCCGTTCCTGGTTCCCTCAGAGAAGGAGCGGCTGGATGCCATGAATAAACCATACGACATCAAGCGCTCCTGCTGGGTCAAAGACGAGAAGGAGGCTTTTATCGCTGGGGAGATTCAGTCTGAAGATGGGGACAAAGTCACCATCAAGACCACCAAGAACACAGTAAGACCCAGACTAAAGCTGTTTACTATGAGCTAATGATCATAATAACCATGATTAAAAACATTTGATTATTCTTTCTGCTCAGACTGTGACTGTGAGGAAGGATGACGTTCAGCAGATGAACCCTCCTAAGTTCTACCAAGCCAGCGACATGGCCAACCTCACCTTCCTCAACGAGGCCAGCGTCATGGAAAACCTGCGCAGCCGCTACGTCAACATGAGGATCTATGTGAGTCCGTGACGGTTCAGCAGAAAGAACTTTTGTTCAACAGCTGATTGTAATAAATTCAGCCGTGTGTTTTCTGCGGGTTATTAAAGGGCCATTCCACAGATCTCACTCATTAATATCGATTTATTTGGCACGAGGGGAATCTCAGAGTTAGGTTGTTAACTCAGGGTTATCTCATCTTATGGCTGGAAACTATACATTTATAACAGAAATCCTGACTTGCATTATGGGAAATGTAGTTTCCGCTGGTTTTGGAGTTTGACCCATCCTATGGACTGAAAGTCTCGCAGGATGTTTTTGCCTCTGCAGCGTCGATTTTGACCTTTTTTATTAAGAATAAATCTCTTACAAATCTTCTACAACTGTATGGAAGTTTAGATTACACCCTTTAAAATGCATGCTGGGAAAAGTAGAAGTACACACCTGGGCAGGTTTCAAGTAGACAGACAGACAGATAGATAGATAGATAGATAGATAGATAGATAGATAGATAGATAGATAGATAGATAGATAGATAGATAGATAGATAGATAGATAGTAATTTGACATATGCATCCTTCAAGCCTCTTTGTTTCTTCCAGACCTACTCAGGCCTCTTCTGCGTGACGATCAACCCGTACAAATGGCTTCCCATCTACGGCGCCAAAGTGGCCCAGATATACAAGGGGAAGAAACGCAACGAGGTTCCTCCTCACCTCTTCTCCATCTCCGACAACGCTTACCACGACATGCTGATGGGTGAGGAGACAGGAAGATGGGTCATGGATGGGTGAGGGGAGGAGGGGGGAGGGCAGTGAGGTTGGCAAAGAGGGGAGGTAAGCATGCAAGTGGTATGTTGTAATTTGGGATTACCCCCCCCCCCCATGAGATGAGTTGCTCTAAGGTCATTACACAGTGACATGTGGACAGAGGGAGCGGGGCAGTTGCTGGAGGTGTGTAATCAGCCATGATTTGTTCAGGGAGTAGGAAAATACTTTGCAAGCCATTATGTGGCATCGAGGCTGGGGGGGGGGGGGTGGGGGCTGGGGGGCTCAGGGGGTGGGGGGGTGAGGGGGGGTGAGGGGGGACAGCTGTCTGTGTCGTTGGTGCTGCTGACAGGAAACATCAGCAGCTCTCTGATCTGCTCAGAGGGAAATCAGCAGTGATTATGTTCAGCTCACTCACACTCTCTCTGTCTCCCTCCTCCTCTCCCCCTCTCCTCCTCTCCCCCCCTCCTCCTCCCCTCCTCTCATCTCCTCCTCTCCTCCTCTCCTCCTCTCTCCACGTCTCAGAGCACGAGAACCAGTCGATGCTGATCACGTAAGGACGTCAATGTTTTTGTTGTTGTTGTTGTTGTTGTTGTTGTTTTGTGATGTTGATGAAGACCATGTAGTCTGCACGTCTCAGTGTCATTAAGTCCTCGCTGGTGTCTCTCCTCCAGCGGAGAATCTGGTGCTGGAAAGACTGAGAACACTAAGAAGGTCATCCAGTACTTCGCTAATGTTGGAGCCTCCGGCAGCAAAGTGTCGGACTCCAAGGTGAGTGTGTCTGTTTGTCTGTTTGTTTGTTTGTTTGTCTGTTTGTCTGTTTGTTTGTTTGTTTGTTTGTTTGTTTGTTTTTTCCATTAAATAATCTCTTATTAATTTATTTTTCGACACCAAACTTCTTTCATTGTAGATTCACAGTGTAAAACACAAGAGAATCTTCTTCTACAGCAAGTGTCTGAGCAGAGACCTGCTCTCATATGATCTCCTCTCCTCGTTTCCTCTCCTCTCCTCTCCTCGTTTCCTCTCCTCTCCTCTCCTTGTTTCCTCTCCTCCCCTCCCCTCCCCTCCTCTCTTCAGGGGTCTCTGGAGGACCAGATCATTCAGGCTAACCCGGTGCTGGAGGCGTTCGGCAACGCCAAGACCATCAGGAACAACAACTCGTCCCGCTTTGTAAGGACCGGTACACAACAACATGTGATGGTGTTTTACATCATTAAATCTCATTAAACCCGCTGAAACATAAAAACAACATCACAATCATCAGATCACTGGGACTCACGTTCGTGTGTCTGTGTGTGTTTCAGGGGAAGTTCATTCGTATCCACTTCGGGCCGACAGCGAAGCTGGCCGGCGCCGATATTGAGTCTTGTGAGCGGATTTAATTTACGGTTTCATTACTTCACCAGCGTTATTGCACCTGAGTAAAACACAAAGTCTTATAGCTTCTATGTTTCATCAAATATGGACATCATTCTGTAAAGACATCAGCCCTGACAAGATAAGTGGCTCATTATAAACTGTGTGTGTGTGTGTGTGTGTGTGTGTGTGTGTGTGTGCGTATGTGTGTGTGTGTGCGTGTGCATCAGATCTGCTCGAGAAATCCAGAGTGATTTCCCAGCAGGCGGCTGAGAGAGGATACCACATCTTCTACCAGCTCCTCTCTGGCAGGAAGCCCGAGCTCATGGGTGAGAGACATGAAACACAAAGATAAAAGTGTTGCATGAGCGACTGAAACGCTTCAAGTTAATGGATAATAATTTGCTAAAACTAGAGGTTTAACAGTTTTAGCTGGAAGTGTGTTAATGGATAAGCAGTTGGAAAAACTAGCGAGCTAAAAGAAGTGATGCTCGATGGTTGAAACAGCAAAAAGTAAACCGTTGAAATTTAGCTAAAAACAATGGACACATGGTGGAAAAGCTAAAAGTCGTGGATAAACAGCTGAAATAGAAGTTGAAATATATCATTAAAAGTACCGGGGAAAACAGTGAAAAAGCAATAGTGTATATAAATATAATATTTGACGTGAATACATGGTTGAAATAGTTAAAAGTCGTGGATAAACAGCTGAAACATTTTGGTAAAAGCAGTTGAAGTGTCAAACTTTATATTGTAACATATAATTAAGTTAAATAACGACCAGATTAAAATCAATTCAAATGACAATCTGATAATGTGAGAATGAGAATCACTTTAACATCCATTAAACGGTGGGATTTGCTTCACTGTCTTATTCTTATTATAATTATTATATTGTTAAATGTTTTGTCTCCCAGGCGCTCTGCTGCTGAGTCCAGACCCCAAGCAGTACGTGTGGGTGTGTCAGGGCGTCACGGTGGTCGACAACATGGACGACGGAGAGGAGCTGATGCTCACTGATGTGAGTCGACCTCTCTCTCTCTCTCTCTCTCTCTCTCTCTCTCTCTCATGTTCGCGTTCACGTTCACTTCTTCAATAATTAAAACTGAAATAGTGAAACTCATCAGCCTGTTGACGGTGCTGCTGCTTCTTGTTGTGTAACTCTCTCTCTCTCTCTCTCTCTCTCGCTCTCTCGCTCTCTCGCTCGCTCGTGTGCACGCAGGAAGCCTTTGATGTCCTGGGCTTCACTCCTGAGGAGAAGATGAGCGTGTACAAGCTGACCGGAGGCATAATGCACTTCGGCAACATGAAGTTCAAACAGAAAGCCAGAGAGGAGCAGGCTGATGTGGATTCCACCGAGGGTATAAAAAGCCCACCTCTCTCTCTCTCTCTCTCTCTCTCTCTCTCTCTCTACCCTGTTCATTTGGCCTAGTTCTCTCTCTCTCTTTACCTCTCTCCTTCTCTTTTGATATTTCTCTTGAAGCCCGCCCTTCTTCATCCTGGTGTCCCAGCTCATATTTATCAAACTCTATATGTCGTTTCTTCACATTAATCTCCATCTATATTTGTGGTTCCTGTTCCTGTTAATTCCTTGTCCCCTCTCTTCTTCTTCTTCTCTTCCTAAAGTGGCGGACAAAGTCGCTCACCTCATGGCCGTCAACTCTGGGGAGCTGCAGAAGGGCATCACACGCCCCAGGGTCAAGGTTGGCAACGAGTTTGTGACCAAAGGTATGACGAGGACATTGTTGAGATGTGTCCAGCGGGAGGGGACAGTGCACTTATCACCTGTCCAATATCTGCTCTCAGGTCAGAACCAGGCCCAGTGCGTGTACTCCATCGGTGCTCTGGCTAAAGCCATCTACGACCGGATGTTCAAGTGGATGGTGACCCGGATCAATAAGACCCTGGACACCAAGATGCAGCGGCAGTACTTCATAGGAGTGCTGGACATCGCCGGGTTCGAGATCTTCGAGGTGAGGTCTCTGTGCTGGATTTTGTATTTTGTAAGTTACTTCATCTCACGATTCCGACTCTGTGTTCCGTCTCCAGTTCAACAGCTTCGAGCAGCTGTGCATCAACTTCACCAACGAGAAGCTGCAGCAGTTCTTCAACCACCACATGTTCGTGCTGGAGCAAGAGGAATACAAGAAGGAGGGAATCGACTGGGTCTTCATCGACTTCGGCCTCGACCTGCAGGCGTGTATCGACCTGCTGGAGAAGGTGACACACGTACAAACCAGAACCAGAACCAGAATCACAATCACAATCTGGTTTATTGGTGTTTTGGTGCATGACAATAAACAAAGTAAGAGGAAAAGAAATATAAACAAAGATGAAACAAGCAGGTACTGCAGATATCTTAAATAGAAATAAAAAAAATGTGACAATAAGATCAAATATTTACAATAAAAATGTGAAGAAATATTATAGAAAAAGTTCCAAAGGCCTGACTCTCTGTCTCCTCTCCAGCCCATGGGCATCTTCTCCATCCTGGAGGAGCAGTGTGTGTTTCCGAAGGCGACAGATTCGACCTTTAAAGCAGCTCTGCACGACAACCACCTGGGCAAGTCCTCAAACTTCCTGAAGCCGAAAGGCGGGAAGAAAGGAGCCGAGGCTCACTTTGAACTGGTGCACTACGCCGGCACAGTGAGTACCAGGCTGTCGTGGGAGAGCGTTTGACTTGTGGATGGATGTTCAGGATGTTCTGTGTGTGTGTGTGATATTTCTGACCGAGTGAGTTTATAGCAGGACACGTGCCTTTAATGCGAACACGGCTGCAGTGAATCTGTGTGCGCCTCCCACAGGTGGGCTACAACATCGCCGGCTGGCTGGAGAAGAACAAAGACCCTCTGAACGAGACGGTGGTGGGACTCTTCCAGAAGTCCTCCATGCCTCTGCTGGCTCTGCTCTTCAAAGAGGAGGAGGCCGCCGCAGGAACCAAGAAGCAGAAGAAAGGCTCGTCCTTCCAAACCGTCTCCAACTTCTACAGGGTAACTCACACAGAAAAACACCTGTCACACCTGATCCCGAGGCAAATCTCACATCAGGCAGCGACGAACCGTTAACTGTTTACGCCCAACAGGAACAACTGAACAAGCTGATGAGCACCCTGCGAAGCACCGCTCCTCACTTCGTCCGCTGCATCGTGCCCAACGAGTTCAAGAAGTCAGGTCAGTGGCTGAAGAGAGGTGAAGGTTCACAGCTGTATTACCTGAGTCACACACAGATACTTCTGATCAAACGTGACTCCAGTACAAGTGAAAGTTGTTTTACTTCAGTTACTAGATTGTAAAAATACTGAAGTATTTAAAAGTACTTTTTTTAAAAGTCAGAAGTTTACAAAAAAAACACTCAAGTAAAGTACAGGTACTTTAAAAATATACAATAATTCTTCATCGCTCTCTCTCGTGTTGTAAAGGCGTTACAGACAACCACCTGATCCTGCACCAGCTGGCCTGTAACGGCGTCCTAGAGGGCATCCGCATCTGCAGGAAGGGATTCCCCAACAGACTACAGTACCCAGAATTCAAACAGAGGTCTGACTCACATCACTTTTGTTATTGATCTCCATGATTCCAGCATCCATCTCCCTTCTATTTTTAACCTTCATGTTGTCTTAATCAAAGTTTAAAAGTTTGACTGTTTATTGAACATGGAGTATAAAATTATTACCCGATAATAACACCTTTTCAGTCGCCTTCAGTCCGACTCATTACTGAGACTTTTACACTTTCTTTTGGAGTTTTATGGTCAATAAACCTCATTTACATAAAAATACCTTATATATTAAACAACATTTTGAATTATTTTGAACATGTGTTGATGGATTATGTTAAATCTGTACATTTCCACATCGTTTCCTTCCCTCCAGTAAACACACTGTATATGGTTTTCTATCTGAAGGATAAACACTGTTTTTATGGCCTTTACGTGACACTGTGTTGTTTTTTGAGGAATCATATAAATTTTATCCCAAATTATTACTTACAAATCAGGATTTTTTTATCAGCACCAACATATTTCAACTCAACCTTTTCCCCTCCATCTCTTCTTTTCTCCCTCTGCTCCTCCTCTTAATGTCTCCTATAGATACTATATCCTCAACCCCAACGTCATCCCTAAGGGATTCGTCGACAACAAGAAGGCGTCTGAGCTCATCCTCAGCTCCATCGGTCTGGATAACATGGAGTACCGCATCGGCCACAGCAAGGTACCCCGCTGCTGTAGTCAGCCATGTTCATACTGATGAACTAAATACATTTACTCAGGTACTGCAGCTAAGTGCAGTTTTCAGGTAGTACTTCCAACAGTAAATAAAGCAGCTAAAATCATCTTGCATGAAGAATTTCATTTTTTATATTTTATTTCTAATACTTATGTACTTATACTCACATTTTACACTAATATTTTTAATGCAGAACTTTTACCTTGTACTTTCTGGTATTTTTATAATATTGTATATTTTAGTACGTTACTAGACTAAGCGGCTTCGTAGAGGAACAACACACATAAACAGCTATTAACCCCTGAAACACATAACAGTTTTATCTCTATTAAACACACTCATTAACATACAACTGACGGGTTGATGGGACCAAACAGAATATTATATATATATATATATATATACTGTATATATATTACATCTCTACATATAACAAGTATATAATTAACTAAATTACACTTTAGTTCATTAGCTCCTCTGTTACTTCTTGTGTATTATCTAATATTATGACATGAAACAAATGAGAACATGCAGTTGATAAATGACTCTCCTCCTCCTCCTCCTCCTCCTCCTCCTCCTCCTCCTCCCTCTCTCACCTGTTTGTCTCTCCAGGTGTTCTTCCGTGCGGGCGTCCTGGCGAAGCTGGAGGACATGCGCGACGAGCGGCTGGCGAAGATCATAACCATGCTGCAGGCTCAGCTGAGAGGAACCCTAATGAGGGTTGAGTTTAAGAAGATGGAAGACAGACGGTCAGTGTGTGTGTGTGTGTGTGTGTGCAGCAGGTTTAATGCTGACTCAGGTGTGTGTGTGTGACAGTGTTTCTGTGTTTATGTGTGTGTGATGCAGAATTGCACTGATGGCCATCCAGCGCAACGTGAGGAAGTTCCTTCAGTTGCGCTTCTGGGGCTGGTGGAAACTCTACACTAAGGTAACACGCTGACGTTCCCCCTCTTGACGAATGATGAACTTTCTTCATCATCATCATCATCATCTTTATATTTCCCGCCTTGTGGCTTCCTCCAGGTGAAGCCCCTGCTGATGGTCGCCCGTCAGGAGGAGACCTTCAAGGCCAAGGAGGAGGAGCTGAGGGTGGCGGTGGAGAAGGTCAAGGAGCTGGAGGGAAAGATCAAAGATCTTGAGGGGAAGATGTTCACTCTGTCTCAGGAGAAGAATGACCTGGCGCTGGCGCTGGCCGCAGTAAGCGCACATCTGCACACACTTCAGTTTGCAGGAAACTCTGCCGGAGATCTCTCTGCCGACGCACCTGGATAACTGTAAACACACTGACGTACTCACATATACACACTTCATCTCCTCGTCTCCTCGCAGGAGCAGGACACGCTGGGAGACGCCGAGGAGCGCTGCACCCAGCTGATGCGCCAAAAGGTGCAGCTGGAGGAGTCAGTGCAGGTAAACATCAGTCTCCTCAGGCAGGTAGCGATGATGTAGTGACACAGCGACGAACAAACAAGGTGTGATCGCTTCAAAATCCACATTAAGTACAAGATTTACACTCCACTGCTCGTAAGTGAGTAGCAACAATATTAACTCTAATGTTTACAGCTTTCACAGGACTGTGAAGGACAAAAAACGACACAAGTATAAAAAATTAATTAATTAATCAATTAATGCAGAAATACATAAATAAATGCAAAATAAAACCATTTTGGTATTTCTAAATTAATTAATTAATCAATATATTTATTCATTTATTTATTTATGCATTTCAAGATTTATTTATGTCTTTATTTCTATGTCTGTATGTTAATTAGTAGGACTGTAATATGTGCAGAATAAGAACTTTTGGAGTGTTTCAAGATAAAGCTAACTGGTATATTTTGGCTAAAACTGTGAGTTTAGGATCTGCGTGAGCGGCTGGAGGAGGAAGAGGGCAACACAGCCTCCCTCCATGGCCAGAGGAGGCAGCTGGAGGGGGAGCTGAACGAGCTCAAGAGGGACCTGGAGTCTCTGGAATCCACGCTGGCCAGGACGGAGAAGGAGAAACAGGTGAAGGGGAGGGGGAGGAGGAGAGAGGAAGTGAAGTATAGCAGCTGTGGAGATATATTTTTATTTCACTGAATGGACAGAAAACCAGGTTATAATGTGTAAGATTTAGAGTTTACCGCTGAATTCCTGTTCGACGGTGCGTTCAGGGTCTGGACTTCAAGGTGCGGACTCTGACGGGTGACCTGAACCAGAGGGACGATCATGTGGCCAAGCTGCAGAAGGAAAAGAGAGCTCTGGAGGAACTGCAACAGGTAGAAAAAAAAACACATTTGTGTTATGTCATTTTATGTGTATGAGTTTAATAGAGACTGATTTATTTTGAAATGTATTCAGAAAACTGTGGAGGATCTCCAGACAGAAGAAGACAAAGTGAATCATCTAACTAAGACCAACAGCAAGCTCAACAGCCAAGTGAACGAGGTACGAGACCTGACAGTGTCGGCAGCTGCAGCTGAATATACTCAGTATTACTGCCTTCATCGTGTGTGTGTGTGTGTGTGTGTGTGTAGCTGGAGGACAGCTGGGAGCAGGAGAAGAGGATCAGGGCGGAGGTGGAGAAAGCGAGGAGGAAGGCAGAGGGAGACCTGAAGATGACCATCGAGAACCTGAATGAGATGGAGAACGCAAAGATCGACCTGGAGGAGGTCATCAAGAAGTGAGAGAGAGAGACACACACACACACACACACACACACACACACACACACACACACAGTCAAACAAATGTTATCTGTATTTACATTGAAAAGAAAAGAATCAGACAATATTTTTGCGTTTTTGCCTCCAACATCAACATGTTTATATTCAGTGTTTCCTCTTGATGTCACAGTTAAAAGCAGCTCCACCTTCATCAGCCACAGCAGTAACATGCTGATGCATCAGTGCATTATAATAATAAAGTAAGGTCACTTCCTGCCTACTAAACCTCTGCACGGACACTGACATGACGTGAGCCTCCAGATAGTCCCCGCCCTCTCAGCCAATTAAATGCTATAGCATGCCTAAATTGGTCGTCTTGGAAACGCAGCCTCTGGTGAGGAAGGATCAAACATGACTTCACTCCAAACTTAGTGCGAACAAGTTGACTCAAATATTGATCATTCTCTGTTACACACCGTCACTCCTGTGTGTGTGTGTGTGTGTGTGTGTGTGTGTGTGTGTGTGTGCGTCTAGGAGAGATTTTGAGATCAACAACATGAACTCGAAGCTGGAGGACGAACAGGCTCTCAGCTCCATGCTCAGCCGCAAGCTCAAAGAGCACCAGGTTAGTGTTCAGACAGGCATCAGCTGATTCCAGGTATTATAGATTTTGTTTCTGATAAAACGAGAAGAAGAAGAAGAAGGTGACAGTTGTACCGTTGGTCCGTACATGTGTTCACCCTCTCCTCTTTCAGGGCCGCATCGAGGAGCTGGAGGAGGAGCTGGAAGCTGAGCGAGCCATGAGAGCCAAGGTACAGGTCTCAGCCGCGAGGTCACCGGAGTTCAAACCTCCTACATGACACATGTTGACCCCTATAAACAGGTGGGATGTTCTCTCTGCTCTCTGATAGGTGGAGAAGCAGAGGGCGGAGCTGTCACGTGATCTGGAGGATCTCAGTGATAGGCTGGAAGAGGCGGGAGGAGCCACCGTCACCCAGGTGAGCGTGTCTGACAGCTGTCAATCAACCAGAGGGTAGCACTGAGCTCCATCGTGACCTCCGCCCTTCTAACCTCCACCACCTCCTCTAGATCGAGCAGAACAGGAAGCGGGAGACGGACCTGCTGAAGCTGAGGCGGGAGCTGGAGGAGGCGGCGCTCCAATCGGAGGCCACGGCGGCGGGGCTAAGGAAGAAGCACTCGGACGCGATGGCGGAGCTGGGCGAGCAGCTGGAGAACCTGACCAGGCTGAAAGTCAAACTGGAGAAGGACAAACTGAGCATGAGGGCGGAGATCGAAGACCTCAACGTCACCGTGGAGACCACGCAGAAAGCAAAGGTACAAAGTCGTTCGATCAAGAAACCTTGTGTGATCAAGAAAAACATCTCACGCACACTTTCTTCTTCTGTCTTTGCGTCTGTTTGTTCACACCTGTAGATGAACTCGGAGGCCCACGCCCATAAGCTGGAGGACAACCTGGCGGAGGCCAACGCTCGCCTGGCGGAGATGGAGCGAACTCAGACCGAGCTCAGCACGACCAAAATCCATCTGACAGGTGAGAACCACAGATAAATAAAGAGTCGACCACAGTTTTCTGACCGACTGATTCAGAGTGGGCCGCTCCGCCGTCGCCATCTTGGCAGTACTTGACCCCGCAGAACTCCTGGCTGATCCAAAAATGAGCAAAGAGGAGCAAAGAGGTGCATGCCCGCTTGTCACTCAAAGAGGCCACGCCCTCAATCCTCCATAACTTTAGTCCTTAATAAGATGTAAAAAGATGAGTTATATAAACAGGTGTCATGAAGGAGGAAATTAGCTCTAGAGACCAAAACAGTTTTTGTACCAGGCTGTAAACATGTTTATTTCTGCTGTAAAGTTGGACATTTTAACATGGGAGTCTATGGGGACTGACTCACTGTTGGAGCCAGACTCTAGTGGTCGTTAGAGGAACTGCAGCTTCATGTTTCAGCCGCTTGGTGAGAACACACGAACACGTACAGGGTTCCTTCTCACAGTCCGATCCTCTGTCCTCTCTGCGTGCAGCGGAGAACAATGATCTGAGCCGGGAGCTGGAGGACGTGCAGAGCAAGCTGACCCAGGTGACCAGGCTGAAGGCCTCGCTCACCTCGCAGATCGATGAGCTCAAGAGACAGGTGGATGAGGAGAACAAGGTACGAGTCGCCACAAACGAACACAAACACACAAGTGACACTTCCCCAGGTGGTTGGTTTTGAGCAGGTGACTCTGTTTTCCTTTTGTTGCCTTTAAAAGTTGCTCGTGAGGTGATTATCTGACCTCCGCCCTCTCTCCCTCCTTGTAGGGTCGTAACACGGCGGTGGTGGCCCTGGCCAACGCCCGCCACGACCTCTCCCTGCTGAAGGAGCAGCTGGAGGAGGAGTCGGAGGGCCGCGGGGAGCTGCAGCGCCTCGTGTCTAAGCTCAACGCCGACGTCACCTCCTGGAGGAGCAAGTATGAGACGGACGCCATCCACCGCACCGAGGAGCTGGAGGAGACCAAGTAGGTTAAAAATACTCTCCTTCCTTTGTGCAAATCAAATGACAATGGTGGTGAAAACACAAATAAACTATTGTTGATACTTTTTAATGCAATCCCACCGGCGCCTCCTCCTCTTTCCCTCCTCCCACTCTCCTCCAGGCGCAAACTGGCAGCGCGTCTCCAGGAGGCTGAGGAGGCGGCGGAGGCGGCCCAGGCCCGAGCTGCCAGCTTGGAGAAGGTCAAGCAGAGGCTGCAGGGGGAGGTGGAGGACCTCACCATAGACCTGGAGAAGGTACACACACACACACACACACACACAGTCCAGGCTAAAAGTGTAAGTTCTGTAAATGTTAGTTGTGAGGCACACTGATATAAAAAGTCTGTGAGTGAGAAGATGCTTTCGTCTGCGTTCGTCTGACCAGTCCAACGCGGCGGCGGCGGCTCTGGATAAGAAGCAGCGCGTGTTCGACAAGCTGGCGGCCGAGTGGAGCCAGAAGAACGAGGAGCTGCAACTGGAGCTGGACAACAGCCAGAGGGAGAGTCGCTCCTACATGACGGAGCTCTACAAGCTGAAGACGGCCTACGAGGAGAGCCAGGATCACGTGGAGACCGTCCGCAAGGAGAACAAAACCCTCTCAGGTGACTTCCAGCGGCCGCGGTTCAACAGATCACGGCGGGGAAGCGACGTGGAAAGCGTATAATAACGTATGCACCTCCTCTCCTCCTCACAGAGGAGATCAAGGAGTTGGTCGACCAGCTGGGTGAAGGAGGCCGCAGCGTCCACGAGCTGCAGAAGGCCAGGAAGAAACTGGAGGTGGAGAAGGAGGAGCTGCAGCTGGCCCTGGAGGAGGCTGAAGCTTCACTGGAGGTGCAGAGCGCTCTGTGGCTGTAGAATAATCTCATTATAGATGATGAGGATGATGAATGGTGATGATGTGTGTGTGTGTGTGTGTGTGTGTGTGTGTGTGTGTGTGTGTGTGTGTGTGTGTGTGTGTGTGTGTTTGTGTGTGTGTCCAGGTGGAGGAAGGTAAGCTGGTACGTGTGCAGCTGGAGCTGGCTCAAGTCAAGGCCGACATCGACCGCAGAATCCACGAGAAGGAGGAGGAGTTTGAAGTCACCAGGTGAGACTCACACACACACACACACACACACACACACACACACACACTTTAAAACTAAATCAAATCATCATCATCGATATCCACAATAAGGCCACTTGCACCTGTTAGCCGGCGTTAGCTTGTATTTATAACCGTTACTTCCTCGTGTTCAGGAAGAACCATGCGCGTGCGGTGGAGTCGCTGCAGGCCAGTCTGGAGGCGGAGGCCAAAGGTCGCGCCGAGGCTCTGCGGATGAAGAAGAAGATGGAGGGAGACCTGAACGAGATGGAGATTCAGCTGGAGCACGCCAACAGGAACAACGCTGAGCTGGTCAAAACCCTCAAGAAGCTGCAGCAGCAGATCAAAGTAAGAGTTTCATTTGATCACCGCGAGGCGGGACATGGAACCGCTTAGAAGAACGACCACTGCAATGATCCTTGTGTGACCCCCCCCCCCTCCAGGATCTGCAGGTGCAGATGGATGAGGACGCCCGTCAGCACGAGGAGCTGAGGGAGAAGTACAGCCTCCAGGAGCGCCGTCTGTGTCTCATGCAGGGGGAGATGGAGGAGCTGAGAGGAGGCCTGGAGGCGTCGGAGAGGGCCCGCAAACTAATCGAGCAGGAGCTGGTGGACGTCACCGAGCGGTTCAGTGAGATCAACATGCACGTGAGTGGCTGCGCCGGTTTTAACGGTTTTATAAATACACATTTTTTTTAATATTTATTTTGATTCATCCTCCGGTTTCTTGCTGCTGCCGTTTTCTCTCACACTAGAACCAAAGTCTGACGATCCTGAAGAGAAAGCTGGAGGCCGACCTCGCCCGACTCTCCACCGAGAACGAGGAGCTGATCTCAGAGTTTCGCGCCGCCGACGAGAGAGCCAAGAAGGCCGTGACTGACGTGAGCGACCTGAACGCACACACAGGAGAAAACAAGCAGACGCACAGAAACATTTTAACATGAAGCAAACACAAACATGTCATGGCAAAAAAAAGAAAAAGAAAAAGAAATGACTTGAATTGTGGAAACGCGTTGTCATGTGCGTCTGCTTCCAGGCGACGCGGCTGTGCGAGGAGCTTCGGCAGGAGCAGGACCGGAGCGCCCACCTGGAGAAGGTCAAGAAGAACCAGGAGCAGAACCTCAGAGACCTCACACTGAGGCTGGAGGAGGCGGAGCAGCAGGCGCTGAAGGCGGGAAAACGCACCATCCAGAAACTGGAAACCAAGGTGAGGAGTTGGATCTGTTGAGGGACGGCCGCGGTCGACATGACACACACACACACACACACACACACACTGAGTCACACCTCTCGTCACTTCCTTCCTCTTTATTTTCCTGCTAGATCAAGGAGCTGGAGAACGAGCTGGACCAGGAGCAGAAGCGCCACGTGGAGACGGTGAAAAGCCTCCGTAAGGGAGAGCGACGACTCAAGGAGCTGATCTTCCAGACGGAGGAGGACCACAAGACCAACCAGCGCATGCAGGAGCTGGTGGAGAAACTCCAGAACAAGCTCAAGTGCTACAAACGGCAGATCGAGGACGCTGTGAGTCGGAGCGACGGCGCTGGATTTAAAAACTCGATTGATTGATGATTGGTTTGAAGGAGCTAAAGCTCCAAGCTAAAGCTCCAAGCTAAAGCTAAAGCTCCACCCCATTTAAATCAAGGAGGGTTGGTCAAACAACAGAAACGCCTCTCTACAGCTCAACACCGACTTAGTACGGTGGCCCTGAGAGCTCAATGCACAATACACATTTTAACAGAGTCAGATGATGAAGATTGATACCGCTCTTGTTTTCTATGTGGTTAAAAACTGACAGAAATGTCCAACAATTCCTTTAAATTGTGGCACTTTTAATTACTAGGTTCTTTAATCTCATTAGAGCCTCGTTTATAAGACGCTTTCTTTAAGTTCCTCAAAAGCAGACAGGTTAGAATATCAGGGTTAGAGCGCGTGCTGTTTAAGACATTTCTCCCTGCACGTGTTTATTTAACAGTGAGACAAACTTCCTGTCTGTGTCGCTGCAGGAGGAGCAGGCCAACAGCAGCCTGTCCAAGTACAGGAAGACGGTCCACGAGCTGGACGACGCGGAGGAGCGCGCAGAAATGGCGGAGATGGCCCTGAATAAAATGAGAACCAGGAACAGAGCCTCGACCAAGAAGGGCTTCACCTCGGTGGAGATCGTCCAGGTCACCAAGCCCGGCGGCGGAGGACAGGACGGGTAGAGGGGAGCCGACACACACACATTGCTAGCAGGTGGGTATTTACACACACAACAGGATTCCCTTAATGCAGGAACTTAATTCTTTGATACAAGTTTATGTAACTTTTATCAGTCTTTTATCGAAAGCCTTTAAACCTTTTACCTGCTGGTTTAATGGGCTGTCTGTCAGGGACCAGAACAACCTAAACCTGGACTCTAACGCCTTCGGGCCGACGTTATAATGAGCCCTTGATGAGAACTAATCATTACTCCAAGTCCTTTATTCCCTCTGCTATTAGGCTGCTCAGCACGGACAACACTCACTTTAAATGATTGTTATTTTAGAGTAATTCACAAGATGTGTTGTTCTATTTACTGCTTTTATTTATTGAAACTGCCTCATGTCTTTTAATATGTTTCCTCTGACGTTTTAACTACATCTGGTTGGTTGTCTGTTGTCTGAACTGAAAGAGGAAGATGAGCTGTGTGAGTGTGTGCTGTTACACTTGTACCTGTATCATCTGTGTTTGTTTTGCTCCCGCAGAGCGACACACACTCATTCAGCCCTCCAGAGGACGCAGCACTGAGGACGTGAGCAAGAAGAAAGTCTTACGCAGAATAATGACAGGAGTCTTTAACATCACCAACAGTCTTAATGAGTGTAGTCACAGGATTGGTCACACGGCCTGTTCTAGTCCAGTTTAGCCTGCACGCCGTGTTACTGTCAGTATGTCTTGACTGTGTGTGTGTGTGTGTGTGTGTGTGTGTGTGTGTCTGCAGTACAGGGATGGAGGTTCAGTTGTCCGACCTTTGCCCTCATGTCAGGTTTTTGTGTGTGTGTGTGTGTGTCCGTCATCTCAGTGTGTGTCTTCAGACCGGAGGGAGGAGTGGTTGAAGCTGTGTTCTCACGTCAACGACAGAGAGCCCACCTGTGTGTGTGTGTGTGTGTGTGTGTGTGTGTGTGTGTCGCTCCTGCCCGGTGTGTTAACAGTGTGTGTGGTGACCTGCTGCAAAGTCTTAATAAACAAAGAGCAAGTTGACCTGAAGCGTCCCGTCATCATTGCGCTCCTTCATATTTAGTGTTTTCGAGTCTTCAGCCGTTACATGGACCAGAGTCTCCAAATCCAGTGAGTGAATCTAAAGAGACAAACATCAACAGTGTTCACGCAGGTGATCGAGTAACGCACCTACAGCGGAGCTACCTGCTGCCTCCAGTTCACACCAAAAATCCTTCCCAACTTCATTCATAATAATGTGGTTAAATGCTAATTTATTAAAGAATATCCGTACCACTTCACAATAAGACTTCCCTTTTATAGAGGATTTATAAACGGTTTATAATTAGGTTATTAGTTATAAATCATAAATAAACAATTATAAACATGTTATACATTGATGCAGGCTCACTATTTGGCAAGATCAAGTTAATGCTTACTACTCATTAATCCTACTACTGAGTTACTACCGTTCCATTATTAAATGTTGATGTGTTTTACACTTCACAATAAGACTCCTTTATAAATGGTAGTAACTCATTAGTAAGATTAATGAGTAAGTATTAACTTGAGCTTGCCAAATAGTGAGCCTGCATCAATGTATAAAAACTGTGTTATAACTTATGTTTATAAAGTGTCAACAACCGGATTAAAAACATCATTAAGAACCATTTATAAATCATTTTTAAGAGAAGTCTTATTGTGAAGTGGAACCAGAATATTCATCATGTAATTAACCTCAGCAAGGAAGGTTTGATAAACCTGCTGTACGCTAGCTGCCCAGAGCCAAACAGCTGACAGGAAGGTTAGCAACTACCTGCTGAAAATAATAATGAAAACAGTGCTAATAATAAATAATAAATTTAAAAAAATAAATCTTAATGCAGGGTTTAAAATGCAGCAGCCACTTCTCATTTCAGCTTACAGTTTTTGTGGCACATAAAACTGCAGAGACGTGCAATCACTCAAATCACCACAAAGATATATCGTGATACTCTGAGGCCCCTGAAGGTCTGAGGCTGGTAACACAGTGACAGGTGATCCTTATGAATCATGACACTGTGTGAAGATTACACTGTGTTTTTGAAGAGTGCATTTTGATCCTGGAGCAGTGTGCTAGGAGTGAATTTATTTTCACCTATTATAAGAAATTATTATAAAATTCTATCTGGGATAAATTAAGAATATTTAGTTCACTTATTCAAATGTCCTTCAGTTGCTTGTCTCAGTGAATCTGAAACGCCAGTGTAACAAGAACAAACGGCACCTATCTCATACATCAACATGGAATTTATTTTCATTTTAGTTTCAGATGAATGTTTCACATTTTATACAAAATCATTAGAAAATGCCTGACACTCCAAAACCCCACGGCTAGTCCTCGTTTAGTGGCTTCAGACACCAAAAGGATTAAATGAAGGGAATCATGCAGCATCCTGGACCGGTTGATGCGTCTCAGCCTGAGCTCCTGATCAATCGAATTATTAATCCACAGTTTTGACTCGATGGCCAAACACTCACCATGCCAGAGTCTTGAAGTCATGACAATACGGTACAGGGAATTCTTGCCACATCTAGTTATGTACAGAGAAGAGATACAGTGGGATGAGGAGGAAGAGGAGGCTGTCACTGAAGACTCGTCCACTGACAGCGTCCCCGCCGCTCTCAACTGATCTGCTGCCCGACTCTAACTGACCGCCACCACCCAGATATCTCCGACGTATGGACACAGTAGCACATCAACACCACCATGCATGTTTTCATACGCATGACACATCATTGGTTATGATTGGTTATGTAGATTTAAATTTAAAAAAAAAAAAAAAAAAAAAAGATCATTAATATCAGAGTTTAAAATCAACCAATGACTGCAGGCCTGAGGAGGAGGGAGGAGGGGGGAGGAGGGCGGCAAGGTCCACCGAGCCTCTGTGTGGATGAGGTAAACGTGAGCGCGGACGAGTGGAGGCTAATTACTCACTGTTTAGCTAATGTACATGCCCAGCGAACACACACAAATGAGGTCTCAGCCATGAGCGCGTGCACACGCACACACACACACACACACTAACACTCACTCTCTCGTACTCACACACACACCTCTGCCTTAAGCCAGAAGCTTCTTCCACATCACTATTTTCAAGCTGAAACGCGACCGACGCCAAACTTTTCGCGGGACAGTGAGAGAGGAAGAGGTTAGAAAAGATGGTACACACCCTCCATTAAGATCCAACAACTGAAAATAAGATTTTTATAAAAGCCAATGCAAAGAGATCCCTCTCTCTCTCTCCCTCTCTCTCTCTCTCTCTCTCTCTCAGACAGGAGACACCACGACTCTGGGGCAGAGAGGCACTTACACAATCACTTTCATTTTACACAGTGCTTGCGTCTGTGTGTGTGTGTGTGTGTGTGTGTATGTATGTATGTATGTATGTATGTATGTATGTATGTATGTATGTATGTATGTGTGTGTGTGTGTGTGTGTGTGTGTGCGTGTGCGTGTGCGTGTCTTAATTGGAGACACAGCTACATTTCTTTTTTTCTTTTGTTTTGTTGATCAAATGATCAATACACACACACAGATGCTCATTTTCACATTGGAGCATGTTTGTAGCGGTTGGCACGTGTACATGCAAAGCTTCAGTCGGGCCTGCGCAGGCACGACTGAGGGGGGCGGGCAGGGGTGAGGGGGCGGGGGAGGGAAGGAGGGGAGAAAAAAGACGGACATGGATGTGAACAGACGAACGCACAGACTGACTGACAGACAGGCTCTTGAACGCTTTGAGCGTTTTAAAAAAACACCCCCTGGTCTTTGATCCTGCCCCTGCCCCCCCATGTGTCACATGTTCATAGCAGCACCAGAGGAGCCCTCTGATTGGTGGGTACGGCCGTTCGCAGTTCGTCAGTCAGTTTCAAGGATGAGCGGCGGTTGCTCGTTCTCTTCCTCCAAGCGCAAGTCATTGAGGTCATCTTCGAGGCCCGCCCCCCCCACAGCGCCCTGCTCTTCGCAGTAACCTAGGCAACGAGAAGTGAAAGGTCAAATATTGAATCTAAAATCTTTGTTTACATTCTACTTTTAAAACTGCATCTGTCTGACTTACCTTTAGTGACTGCAGCACTATAGGTTTGGGCCACAAGTGGGCGGTCATGTGACCCCTGCTCAAGGATCTCATTGGGTGCTTCAGCGCTGCCGTCTAACCTGGGGTCAATCACAAGCACAGATTCAGTAAAAGAAACTATTAACTGTGTGTGTGTGAGTGTGTGTGTGTGTGTGTGTGTGTGTGTGTGTATCACCTGTGCTGCTTCATAAGTGTGCATTCCCCTCCCTCCTGTGGATCCAGGTTGTAGAGATACAGGTAACCATCAGCTGCTGCAACCAACAATCTGGGAATCTTCTGAATCCTGATTTAAAACAATGTAAAACAAAAGTTCACAAACAAAAAAAAAAAAAAAGACTTGATCAACAACCAGAACCAAAATAAAAGATAATTTAGTTTTTCATCTTAATAAATGAATCAAAACCAAATCAACTTTATACATCAGATGCTAATTAGCAGCAAAATGCGAAACTGAATAAGAAGTGCAACACAAATTTCCATGACTTGTCTGTGTATGTGAACGCAGCGCAGACAGCAGACGGGCACTCACACAGCTAAGGCGCAGATGTTCTTGTGTCCGCAGAAGGGCAGGCGAACGGTGGCGAAGGCTCGGCCCTGGGTGAACATCTCCGTGACCTGGGAAGGCAGGTAGGTGGTGGACGCCATCAGGACCTTGCCCAGATACCCTCCCCATGTGGTGGGCTCCTCCGCAGGCCTACACACAAACACACACACACACACACACACACATAGAATTTGAGAAGACTGTGTTTCTCTGTTTAACATGATAATAATCAAGTAGGAAAACCCAGCCGAGCTGCCTCAGGAGAGTCTTTAAGATCTGGCAGACAGAATGATACATACACATACTTCTCCTTCTGCGTTTCTAACTTGAAGATGTGGACCGTCTCTGTGTTGCTGGAGGCCGACAGGTACAGGCCCTCCATACTGAACGCCAACGAGCAAATGCTCACACACCTAAGAGATGAAGCACAGAAACATGTACAACAGTCGCACAGAGCAGCAGTTGAACCTACAGAATCACGCCAGTCCATCACTTATCTACTTATGTTTTAAATATATGATTATATCAAGTCATCATCCTGTTTTTTATCAATTACTTTAAATTATTTTAGACAGCTTTTTCTCATTTTTACTGAACTTCATCATCACTGTTCTCTCCCTCCACTTTTAAACTTGTTCGTCCTCAATTTTTATCTCGTCTTGTAAAGCACTTTGTACCTGTGTTTTCACACGTGCTGTATAGATAAAGCTTATCATTATCATTATTATTATTATTATTATTATTATTATCATCATCACAGTAAAACCACTTTCATTTCTGAAAACCCAGAACCGTAGCGAGTCAATCATCAAATCCGCTCTACCTCTTGACTCCTCGCCGAAACTCAAAGAGCTTCTGTCCCTCTGGGATTGAGAAGACACGAATGACTGTGCCCTGGGAGGAAGTGAAAGAAAACAGATATACAGAAGATGATAACACTTGAAAAGGAACCAAACGACGAGGATCAGCATTTACTCAGGCGGAAAACAAAACAAAACAAAATCAAACACAAATCAGCCACTTAGATAACAGCAGTGCTAACAACTGTCCTAACCTTCTCTGAGGCTGTGGCCAGTTTGGTTCCACTGGCATCGAAAGCCAGCGCCGCTAACGGGCTGTCGTGGGCTGGAATCATATTAGCCGCTCGCTGGAAAAAACCCAAAAACACACCCTCGTTAGAGATGTGCTTCTTTAGAAACAGAGTCGTAATGAACAAGATTTAGCTTTGGCTCTTTTCCAACAGGAAACTCAATAGTCATTATCCAACACAATAAGCAGCAGAAACAATGCCTCGGCTACAACATGCAGGTGTTTGTGAACCATTACAAACATGATGAGATAAGAGCTGAGGAGAGAGAACATATTAAACCTCAGGACTTTATTACAGGCAGAGGGCTTTGCTGTACTTTGTGTTCACCTACCAGGTTGACTGTGTCAAACACCTGAACTTCTCCTATTGTAGCGCTGCCTGGATACGCCAGGTAGCAGTTATCATTACTGATGGAAAGGGCGCACAGTCCTGGAGAAAACGTGTAAACAAATGGAAACTAATTAACAAGAGACTGATAAAACAGATCGCAGCAGAACCACATTTATCTGAACTTGAAAATCTGTGAAACCGAAACTGATAAAAAAACAAATAAATGGCATACACTGAGAGACTGCAATAACCACAAGATCTGTAATAGTTCTGGCAGCATCGGCTTTCTTTCTTTTGTTCTGCAGTTAGCAGTGGGAGATTACAGCAGCAGCCAGCACAGAGATAATGATGAACAGGCTGGAAAACAACACGGCTAACTGTAAATAAACTAAGAAAAATGAAAGAGAAACCAAAAACCTGAAAAACCTGAAGAAAGCATCATCCCCGTTTTCACTGTGTGTGCATATACTGTATAAGGAAAAACCCCCTTCCTTGTATTTCCTTTTCCCCCTTTGAGCACTGTACTACTGTATACCATACTATGTTGAGATGATACTCGTCATTGTGCAGACTCACCTGAAGGGTTGGGTGGAGTCTCTCTGATGGTGTGAAGCACTTTCATGTCTCGGATGTTGTGAATGTACAGCGACTCCTCCAGACACACGATCAGCCTCTGCAGAGGATCCACATCAACAACACCACCGACGACATCACGGTCAAAGACAGAACACCACACAGACGTTTTGCTGCACTGATTCATTAGCCGACCGGGACACGAGACGGGGCGAGACAGACAGGTATTTCTGTGCCCTCGTCTTCCTACCTGTCTGTTGAGTTTGACGGCCAGTATGGTGTTGGAATAGGAGTAGTTGCAGATCTCGGTTCCCTTCTTGAAGTGACAGACTTTGAGTTTCCTGGGGGCCTTCAGGCTGACGATGGCCACCAGGCTGCTGGAGAACAGACGCTCCACGATACACACATCCTCCGTGTCCGCTGCAGACACACACACACACACACACACACACACACACACACACACACACACACACACACAAAAATAATCACTTCGCACCTCTCATCTTTTTTTAGCTGCCTTACTGTGATTCGTGTGGTAGTCATTTTTAACTGTTAAGGGAGTGACACAGTGCAAATGAAAGCATCACATGATCCCATCTAACAGCACATTTAGGGAAGTAAGCTGATTCCTTGACAAAAGTACATGCATGGGTGCATATTGAGGATGTAGCAGAGAACATACTATAATGTATATAAATCCAATAATGAGGGGGAAGCTTGATGTTAAAGAATAGAAGAAAAGTGCTGACAAACTTAATTAATATTTAAAGTAATAGCAATCCTCTAATGGTGCTGTGATTGTGTTCTGTGTAGACAGCAAGCATTAAACACAATAACTCAGAAAACATGACTAAGCAATAATATTACAGAGCAGTAACACAGTTATTGAAGAACAATACACGGTTTACTAACAAGTGGGTAGAAAATACTTACTACATTCATATATCTGCTCCAATTTGTCCACAGAGGACAGGGAGAAAAACTTGTATCCTGATTTGGTGCCAACAGCTAAGGACCTATTTACATAAAAGAAACACGACAACAGCAGCATTGGTCAAGCATTGCATCAGCGAAATATCACACCCGTACACACTGAATACTGATGGACTCAAGTGTCATTATTACACAGGCCTTTCAGACTAGACCCTGGAGGGATCAGCCTGGTTAATATCAGTGATCTCGGTCTCGTCACAGGACTGGAGATGTTTTGCAATAGCACCAGGCCTCTGTGGTGTACAGCGGCCACCAGTAAATTTAACGGAATAACCCGTGCGTTACAAAGGTATTTCTACATGTTATTGAGTCTGTAGGACAATAAAAGGCAGTGCCCCGGTTTGAGACCGTTACAGCTTTGTCAAACTGTCCTCCTCCTGTAGCGCCAGTCCTGGAAAATGTCAGCCGGACAACATTAGCGTTCAAACCAACCAGAATGACTTTGACTTCGGCTAAATCCATCTGTAATCAATATACTGATCATAACAAATTTCACCTCTGACACCCGAGAAGTTACATGACACCTAACCTACATGTGTATTGTGGCTAAAGTTAGCCTCGGACCACACAACATCACGTTAGCTAGAAAGCTATGCTCGTGACGGCTGAAATAAAACATATCTGCACATTTCCATTAGCTAGCTAACATCTGCGTGTCTCGGTAGCAATTTCTAACGTGAGAAACCACATCCAGGCTTTTTCACATCGAGCCCTGTCATCCCGTAAGACGCCCAAACAAGTCCACACTGAGCTAGCTACCGACAGCTAGCTTGACAGCAAAGGCCATCGGATCCCCCAGACACTCTCCCCCGGCCCTGCCTTACGTGTTGTCCTGGTTAAAGTTGGCGAAGAGGAGCTGGCTGCCGCCAGCATCCCCGCTCTGACTAGCCAAGTTCATGAGCTCGGCAACATCGACATATAAAGCTCCGGTAGAAATAGCAGCAGTCGGGCTGGGATTACAACTGTGGTGAGGACCAGAAGTGTGGAGCTTCACGGAGCCATCTCTCTTCCCTGGCCCTACTGTAGTGATTGTTGTTGTTTTTCATAGAGGCTGTTGCTCCCCCTTACTGCGCATGCTCCGAGGACGCAGCGTGAGGCACCTTTAAAGAGACAGGACAGTTTTTCTACGCGCGCTGTCCAGGTGAGGATGGTGAACACATAACATGTAATTCAATATAAGTGGGAGTAGTATTTCTGTTTCCGATGTCTCGGTTCTACGGAGGAGAGGAAGCACGAGCTGACACAGCTCTCCTCCGCTGTACAGTTACTACTCATGATTTGATCTAACAGCGCCCCCCACCGTCAATATGAGCAAACATCATTTAAAATGAATGGTGTTAAAGATATTATATTTACTGAACATATGCAGGATAAGATAATACAGACCAGCTGTGGTGGAGGAATTATTCAAATCAATTTAATAAAAGTACCAATCACTTTTTTCAAAAGGTGTATTACAAGTAAACGTCCTGTATTGAAAGTGTAAAGTACAGTGAGAAAAATGTAATATTAAGTATTAAAAATTGAAGAATTCAATGCAGAAAATTTGTGAAATTTTCACTGCTGGGTGTGATGGTGCTCATTCTTAGCTATTTTTAATAAGGTTGCAATTAATGGTTGTTTACATTATGGATTAATCTGCTGATTATTTTCTCAATTAATCAAATGTTTGGTTTATAAAAATTTATAGTGATACTATAGCTTTATAGTTCATAATCCTGTCTTGTCCAACCAAGAGTCCAAACCTCAAAAAAAAATTTTAAATAAATTGAAATGACTCTTTAGCAGAAAATTCTCACATTTAAAAAATCTCAGCTTTGCACCAAAATTTACTTAAACAGCTATCAAAATGGTTTCCAATTAATATTCTGTCTATCAGTTGATTGATTAATTGACTACTTGTTTATGCATTGTATATGTATATCCTGTTGGGTAGTTGGATTTTTAACAAAGCATCATATTTTATAAGATCTTCATATATTTTGTACGTAAAAATCATAATCGACAAAGTAACTGCTGACTAAAGGTGTCACATACTGTGTACATAGTGCTGTAGAAAGAACAATATTTCCCTCTGAAATGTAATGAAGTAGAAGTATAAAGTAACATTAAAGGAAAATACTGTACAAGTGCAAAGGCTACAAATTAAAAAACATATATTTTATAGAGTAGTAAAACTCTCTCTCTAAATATATATAGTTTTATATGTATTATAAATTTATAGATATAATAATTTAATCTAACTTTCAAGATTTCTGCAACAACAAATATTCATAACAAACTGAATCTATATTGTGTGCTTTATTATCCCTGTGTACTGTTATGACTCTTGACAAACCTACTGTATGTAAAGCAAAAAGCACCTGTAAGACCTGCACATGGTAAAATCACATTTGTCAAAAAAATATTTATTCATGTTGAGTATAGGGGTGTATATTACACTCTATATTAAACCATATATGATAGATAGGCCTACAGGTACAGTTTGCCACATAAATAGTGTAATATTTGAACAAAACAAATATTTCTGCTACATATTAGCACACATTGTTTTTTAATACATGTGAAAAACATATTAAATCAAAATCTATGTCCCAATATATCAAAGTTCATATGCAGTATGTCGATGTACAGTATTGAATGTGTAACATTTTTATCTGTCAGTTGCATATAATTGGTATGGTGTTAAAATGAATACCAAAAATTACAAAAAATTAAGATATTAGGGTAAATAATTCTATTAAATTGCCTTTATTTCATAATTTCTGTGAACACCATCTATTCATTTCAACATCACTGTTGTTCACGGGCCCCATATCGACGATCCTCTGACTGGCCTGTCTCTGAGCACGAGCTCGACAACTTATACAATAACAACTCTGGCGGCTGGAGCAACAAGATCTGGGGCGTGGGATGAGAGGGAAACGATGAGTGTAATTTGGGATGTGAGTCACAGGTCTCATCTGCGTGCGTTAGTTTCAGGGCAATTTCAGGTGTAAGTCTGAGCATGTCACACCGCATTCGTGACTGATAAAAATTCTTGACGTGGATATAGAAACTTAAAGCTGGGCAGTTAAGACGAGGCTGCCCTGAGACAGGCTGTGCAGACAGCTGCGGCTCATCCTGTGTGTGGATCTCACAGAACAAAAGAAGGATGTGGAGCAGAAACACTGTCAGCTACTTGGCACAAGCATAAAAAGGCAAGAAAAAGACAAAGCAACAAACCTGAGAAAACCAAACGACACTGAGAAGAAATCAGTCCACCATGATGAACCTTCACCCTAATGAACGCTCCTGTTGTCCTCACAAACAATGATGTTAAGCTGTATGTGACATTAATATACATTTCTCTTTCAGAAGACATGGCTCCACTTCATGCCTCCATTTATCTCTCTGTGTCGCTGAACTTCATTTTGCAGATCCACTCATGCTTCTCTTCAAACACACGCACACACACACACACACGTGTACGCACGCACGCACACGCGCACACACACACACACACACACACTGAATGGAAAATTAAATATTGTCAAACAATAACAGTGTCCACCAGAAGCCCTTTGTGGCAACGTGCAGCAGCTGCATGAAACAGAACAGACACATTATGCAAACACACAGACCTCCAATGATTTCCCTCTCTTTCAACAAAACATGTTACACATTTACCACTGTGGCTGAGTTTAGAGATAACATTCAAAATATCAATGACAGTGGCCAGATGAGCACATGTGTACAGGTAAATAATATGCACCTGACAGTGTGTGTGTGTGTGTGTGTGTGTTTCAAACATGTATATTGACTTCATATTAAATCTTTTTTAAGTGACCAATAGAGGCTATAAGAAAAATTGGACATGCTATTTTATATATATATTATATTACATATTTTTTTCATGTTGTCATTGGATAAAAAAAATCCTTAAAATAATATAAAACATATTTCTCAGCACATTTGCTGTCTGTTATCATCATAGCATCTTATCATCAACATCAACATTTGTCTCTTAAGTGATTCTAAAGGTGAGTAATTGGCCTCACTATCTGTTTCCCACACCTCACCTCTGTCCGTCCGTCCGTCCGTCTGTCTATCATGTTTGTGTGGAAGCTTCGGCTTGTGTAAACCAAAGGCCAGTACACGGTGCGTTGGCCCTCTGCCTGTGCTGACAGACCTCTGGAGGAGAGGCGGCCGCTCAGACCCTGACAACAGTAAACTGATCCAGAGGACACAGCTGACACAGAATCACAGAGACATGGGGGCAAACACAGATCTTAAACGCTCTGATTAGCAAAATGATTCCAAAGTGGACGCATGGATGGAGTCACTGTGGTGATTTTACAGATGACATTTAAACAGAAATGTGTAGTGGATCTTGAGCAACAACTTATATGTAAATAATGTTTGTCGTTTTTATCTGCACAGTACCAAGGTCATTGTCATTACTAATACCTGCTTTGTACAGGGATGTTTTAACCCTCTGGAGTCCATTTTGATGATTTCTTTATGCATTCATTTCTGTCACACACATTTTAAACCGTCCCGAGCCCACATGCATTGTTTCCCTTTTTCACAAACTTCACTGTAAGTCTGACAAATTATAAACTGCTAGGACTCCAAGATAGAAGAAATATAATAGTGAAAGTGAAAATGTTCATATCTTTAGTTGTAATCAAAATTTTCTTATAGAGAAGCTGGAAATTGTAAAAAGTATTGTTTTACTATTTGTACACACCAATCTAAGAAACGAAACTATAATACTGTCTATTTCCATGGAAGGGATTTAATTTCCACTCATTGTTGTGCCTTTTTCACTAAAATGATAAATCACGTGGAAAATATGAACAATTCAGACTCTGTGCAGTTGTTTATGAAAGTCCCACATCATCACTTTCCACTGATTTCTTCAGCGTGTCTCTACATGATATAAGAAGTTGTGTAACTGTAAATAAAACAGTGGCCACAGACGGACTCCAGAGGGTTAAGTAGCATAATTAAAAAAAAAAATCAAAATAAAAAAAATATATATTTCTAGTGTGGAGTTTCTGTGTGAGTAATGTGGTGACCTTGGACTTCTAGAGTCATGTCTACAGCCCTGTGTCAGACTGAAACTCATTTCTCACCTTTCACACATGCATTCCTTTCCATTGTGTTGTTTTTCTCTCCTCTGTTTATAAAAGTTACAACTTTCACTTTTTCTTACCCTGTGTGCTCCCCTCACGTTCACATGTCACACGCCAGTTGAAAATAAAAATGACTGAGAAAAAACTGTGTGAGAGTGTGTGTTGTTGTGTGTGTTGTTGTGTGTGTGTGTGTGTGTTGTGTTGTGGGGAGGGGTTGCTGTTTGCTGCTGTGTTATCATCAGACAGGAGAGGGGAAAGGGGAGGGGAGGCGAGAGGAGGGGTTACAAGCTCAGTCCCGCGGAACATCCTGCAAACACATCTGAGACTCGGAACAAAACTCTACATAGTTCCCCGCTCACCGCGAGCCGCGGCGCACATCGCCTCCTCTCCGCCGGATGGCTCGCTGTTTGATCCCCGGACCAAAGCTCCGACACCGCGGTCAAAAGTCGTTGAGTTGCTGTTGGTGAATAGTTGACCGACTCCGCAGGTCGTTGCCCCCGCTGGACTTATGTGTTTATGTTTGGACGCGCGGCGGTGGGACATCCGGAATGGGGGATCCGTAGGAGGGGACGACGCTCGCTGGTGTGCCGCTGTCTGTAGATAGAGCGCGAGCGCACCAACGCGTTAGCGCGCACGCGACCTACGCACGAGATGGACTTGAAGAGGACGAAGTTTGGAAGGTAATTTAAAAAAAAAAAAAAAAAAAAAAAAATCTTGTCAGGAGAGTTTGACCGCGAATATCTGGCACCATATTTTTTTCATGAGTGTGTGACAGACTCCGGGCATCCATGCGCAGTGACGGGCTGGCACAGGGACAACCAGAAGGATGTTATAGATTAGTTTGTGTGTGTGTGCGTGCGTGCGTGTGTGTGTGTGTGTGAGAGAGAGAGAGAGAGAGAGATACCATTTATCTTGCTGTTCTCGTGGATAAAGACTGAAAAGAGCTGAACGATTTGCAGAGTTGTTCCCTGGAAAAAATATCAATAAATATGAAATGATTTATTACTAAAAAATACATCCACGCGGCCTATTTGTAAAATAAGCAGTCAGACAGGATTACATATTGCTGTGATGCTAATCACATGTTGCAGCTGGGTGCATGAAAACTTGTTAGCATGAGAGGATAGTTAAGGAAAAGTAGCCTAATGGATAAACAGCTGAAATAATGAAAACTAATAAATAAACCGTTGAATTAGGTAGCTAGAAGCATAGATATCTACTTTATATAGTTAGCTAAAAGTAGCTAAACGTAATTGATAAACAACAAATTTAGCAAAAAAGAAAAAAGAAAACACTTGAAAGTGTTAGCTAAAAGTAATGAATAAACACACAGGTAAAAGTAAGATAGTTTGATAAAAGTAATGGGTAAACATCTGAAATAGTTAGCTAAAAGCATTTACACCCATTTGAAATAGTTAGCGAGTAATGAACAAGCAGTTAGCTAAAATTAATGAACAGCAATATAGATAAAATTAATTTATAAACAGCTGAAATAGTTAGCTAAACGCATAGAAAACTACTGAATGGTTAGCTAAAAGTAATAAGCAGTTAGCTAAAATGAGTGAACAGCAAGATAGATAAAAGTAATTAAACAGCTTAAAATAGTTAGCTAAAAGCATAGATAACTACTGAATGGTTAGCTAAAAGTAATTAGCAGTTAGCTAAAATGAGTGAACAGCATGATAGATAAAAGTAATTTATAAACAGCTAAAATAGTTAGCTAAAAGCATAGATAACTACTGAATGGTTAGCTAAAAGTAATTAGCAGTTAGCTAAAATAGTAATAAGCAGTTAGCTAAAATGAATGAAAAGCAAGATAGTTAACAGTAATGAATAAACAGAAAACAAAAGAAAGCA